ACCAGCCATTTTTCAAACTTAAAATTGTTATGGCATCCCTGTGGTCACGTGACCAAAATTCAGATGCTGGGCAACTGGCATGTATTTATGACGGTTGCAGTTTCCTGGAGTCATGTGAACTTCTAACAAGCAAAGTCAGTGGGGAAGCCAGATTCACTTAACAATCGTGTTATTAACTTAACAGCTGCATTGGCAAGAAAGTTTGTAAAATGGGGCAAAATTCAACCAGTGTCTTGATTAGCCATGGAAATTTGGGGTTCAGTTGTGGTGATAAGTCAAGGACCAGTTCTGTTGTATGCATGGCATTCGGCCTTTATCTGATGGGCCTGATCCTCTAAATACTGGGTAAGCCATGGCTTTGGAAGTGTTTCAAACATCCTAATACCAAGAACTCAGTTATGGCCACTGCACTGCAGCATGCTATGTAATATGCCACGAAACAAATTTATGATTGTTGAGATGCCAATTAGATGTTCAATTTAAAATGAATAGCCTGTGATTAAAAGGCTGAGGAAGTTCCAATGCACTCATATTCCCCACTACAGAAAATGTGTAGGCACTGGGGGAAATTTACAACCCAAATGTTACATAAAATATACTACCTCCTTTTGTGCTTCTTGAGGAATTCTCCATGACTTATCCCATTAATAACACTAAGACACCCCATTCTTTTTAATCACTGAAAAATATTTTGAACCCGAGCTACAACAAATAAGTAGAAGACTTGACCACTGTGAGGTCAACAATTCCGGAGGACTTTTAATGCATTTGAGAGCTCACAGATTTATGAGCCCATTCTTTAAAAAAAAAAAAATCAAAACGTTAAGTAACAGCATTTTTAAAAATAATTACATCATCTACTCTTTTTTAACGCCTTCAAAGCATGCTTTCTCTTTGGTAGCTAAGTTGAAGAGTTTGTAGAATAATTACAAGCTAAGAAATCTTTATCCCACAAGATGAAGGAGAAAAAGCAAGAGTGGTGTGGCTGGCCTAGAGGTGGAATTCTCACCTCACAAATCAGGAGGCTATGAGTTCGATCCTAGGTAGAAGCAGATATTTCTTTCTCTGGGCATGCTGAAAAAAAAAAAAAAAACCTCCACCTTGGTGACAGGAAGGGCATCCGGCCATTAAAACACTTTGCTAGCTCCATTCAGTTGCCCAGACTCCACCTTGCAAGGGATTATGGGTCCCATACAGTTAAACGAAGATGATGATGAAGGGGAAAAGACATGCATACAGGTGTTACGTTTTCTTCCTTTGCACTGGTTGGACGCAGAATGAAGTTTGAGAATAAACTGGGAGACTGTGAATTCTAGGCCTGCCTTAGGCGTGAAGGTCACCTCAGCCAGTCCCCGCCTCTCTCAACCCAGCTGTTGTAGGAATCACAGGAGGCAGGAGTATTCAGGGTTTCCAAGAGAAGAAGAGGATCCATAGTTCAGGTTGGAGTGCTTTAAAGCAGGCCCGTCTCTGATTTTGGCTATTGGCCTCAAATATTTCTTTACCCAGCTAGGTAACGTCATCCGTGCACTGCTTTCTTGTGAAAGCAGGACCACACTAGTTGCACTGATGATGTTACCGAGGTGGGTAAGGAAACACCTGCAAGCCAGCAACCAAAATCAAGAGAACCCCAAGAAACTCTACAATATGAGATGCATTAGCTCCCTTGAGTTTCATATACAGATGTAGAACATAGAATAATAGGATAAGGACGGACCTTGGAGATCTAGTAGTCCAATCCCCTGCTCAAACATGTGCGCAGTGTGTTTATGTACACATGTACACACACGTGTCTGTGTCTACACACACATACATTACACACATTTGTGTATGCACACATAAACATAAATATCTAACTATTCCACACACACACAGGGAGAGGCAAAGTAAACCTGTAACAGCAATAACAATAGCAGCCCCACCTCTGGCAGGCTGATAAACTGAGGATCCCCTCTCCAGGGACAGGAAATGGTAGCTTAAGAGAGATGGATTTATTTATTTTATGTATTGATTTATTCAACCTCCCATCTCAACAAGTGACTCTTGTTGCAGTGAAGAGAATTAAAATGAAATGAAAACAAGTTACAAGAATCACAAGGCAAGCCAAGCAGCCTGGTGATCAAACCCCAATCCCCAGCAGTACAGTACAAACAAAAAGCGGTTGCCAGATAAAGATGTGCCCCCTCCCACACTTTGAGGTGTAGAAATGGACGTTCACACGACCCAAATGACCTGGCTCCCCAATATACGACCCCCACGCCCCACGCCAGGCTCGGATAGCTTTTAAAGCGGACCCGTCTTATAGCTCTGGTTACCGCACGGCTCACGGTACCAGAGAAGCGGGCCCGCTCGCTCCTCCCCCAACGAAGCGAGTTAAGAGCGTCGTGCGAACGCGAAGAGAGGGAGAGAGGGAGGGGGAAAGGGAGGGGGAGACAGAGCGCGCACGCGCGCTTCCCGCTCGGGCGGCCTCGCGCGCCTTCCGGTCTCTATGGTAACAGCTGGGCGGGGAGGGGGGGAGGAGGAGGAGGAGGAGGATGAGAAGGAAGAAGAGAAAGTCAGAGACGGAACTTTCACTCCCCGGTCACCTGACCTGGCCCCGCGGGGTCACGTGACCGCCTTTCCATCGTCGCCATTTTGAAGTGGAGTGGTTACCGCAGAGAAGAAGGAGGGTGAGAGAGCCGGGGTAGGGAAGGGAAGGGACGGGAAAGGGAGCCGTCGCCGGGGAAGCGGGCGGCGGGGACGAGGACGGGGACGGGAGGCCGGCGAGCCATCGGATAAGGGGGCAGCCGGGACCGGGGAGACAGCGAGGGAGCGAGGCGGGGGGCGGGGAGGATCTCGAAAAAGGCTCTTCCCCTCCCGCGGCTCAGCCGGAGGGACCCCTCGGATGAAAGGGCTGCCGTTTTGCGAGGGAGACCGGCGGTTTGGGGGTCTCCCCAGAGCCCGTTTCGCCCGGCAGGAGGTGATTCTCTCCCCCCCCCCCCATCCGCCTGCCTTCGGTTCACACGAGGGCGCTTGGCCAGGCTGGCTCCTTTCACGCCATAAGCCGAGCGTGGCGTGTTTCCCCGCGGGGTGAACCGCCGAGGTTAGGCTCGCTGCGGGGCAGAGACCCAGGCAAGGGGTAGATTCCCTCTCTGCGGGTAAGGGCGTCGTGAGAACAGACGGATGGCATGGGTGGGCTCTGAGTTGGTCCGACCCTGACGTTCGGTTTTTTTTTTGTTGTTGTTCCCTTCGTTCTCCCCGAGTTTTCTCCACCCGCAATAAGTGGGTGTGGAGAATAATACAACCTTTTCCGTACGGATTTGAACCAAGCGACCTACCTATTCACTCAATAGGAGGTGCCTCCAGATGCCTGAGATTTACCCTTCTTAGAATTCCCAGCCGATAGAAGCGCTTGGCTGAGGATGTTTGGATTTGTAGCCCCAAACCCCTCTGGAGGTGTCAGGGCGCTGGGGGTAGAGACTGGTCCAGCCTGTCAAACTCCTTCCTTAATGGTCAATTGTGAAGATTCTGTTTGGCGGATTCCCCCCCCCCCCATTCCTTGTCTTGCTATGGCAGGTAAATGCACCTGTCCTTCAAGATTTTTCCTGGTTTTATAGTGTGTGTTTTTTTTCCCTACAAAGGTCCTCCCAATTGGTTAGGTGTGTGAGCTGACGATATTGCCATGCTAATAGGTCTTGAATTAAATTGGTGCCCCATATTAAAAACAAAAAACAAAATTAAAGGCTACAGCTTTAAAGTCTGTGTTTGAACCTTCCCCTAGAGCCAGTTTTTTGTAGCTTCATTAAAGGGTTTTAGTTAGCTTCAGTTCTCATACATTTTGCATACATCCTCTAACTTGTCCTTCCCTGTCCTCTTCTGCCTTGAAAACAAAGCACTAATTTTAAAATCCTATGTGAAATTATTTCCTGATTGAAATTATCCCACAGTTTAGCTTCAATTGAATTGTCATATATAAAAGGCTAGTATGAATGTAGCTACCGGTAGTTAGATTTAAGTATCTCAGGCTGTAAAAGGCCAATGAAGGAATTGGAAACCTGGGATTCTCCACTGTGTTGTCCAAATTTTTATTTTATTTTATAATTTTCCGACATAGGAAGTCATCACAACCAAATTCCAATCCACCTAAACTGTTTGAGTGCAGTATTATTAGAACCTCTCACTAGATTAATCAAAATGTTATTTCTATTGTGTGGCGCATTTAGTAACTTAAAGCGATAGACTTCTACCTATTTTCCTGTGAGGTAGATTGGGCTGAGAAAAAGTGACTTCCCCAGGTTCCCTAGTGACTATTTGAAACTGAACTCAAATCTAGAGTTCCCTGCTCCTGGTCCAATATATCAACCATGCTGCCTCTCTAAGCTGAAGACTATCTACAAATTGCAGTTAGCCAAGAATGATGGCATGGATAACAATATTGTTAGAATGTAAACTGTTGCTTACTGATTGCTTTCCAAGCTTATGCCAGATGCTTAGTTTTGGTGTGGTTGAAGGCCGTGTGGGTAATTTGCCCTAAATTTATGAAAGTCTTCATGAACCAGTTTGGGGTGCGATTAGGCCCAAAGCCAGCTGGATGACCATGAGCCAGTCACTCTCAGCCATTGGAAGAGGATACTGGCTGTCAAAGCCATCTCCGAAAATGTAGCCAGCAAAAAGGCAGGGTCTCATCCAGACTGTTGCCAAGAATCAAAACTGATTTGAAAAGTAGGCTTTATACGCTCCTCGGTTTTTAATAGATTACATTTTTATTTCTAAAGTAAAATAATGTTGCATGGTGCTGTAGAAAAGATGGTTTCTTTCTTCTACTCTAAAAAGATACTTAATCAACTCTTATTTTTGTCCCAGATTACTGCTATGAATGTTTTCAGTTAGCAAGAGGAGAGCGTTCACAAGGACGATGCAAGTACTCAACTGACAGTTGTTCCGATGAACAGTGCTGTGCACTGGCACATGGGAACATCAGCAATAATCACCTGTAATAATAGAACAGGAGAGCAGCCAACAGGAGTGCTGGAGTCGGCAAAACGAAAAATTGTCTCTGAACCCTTTCCCTTTAAAACCATCTGTTACACTGGCAAGAACTTGGTAAGTCCATCATGTGAAAGATGATGATGTCCATTCAGTCATATCCAACTCTTGATTATTCTTTGGGCCAGGTCTCTGCACATCTTTGGATCTTGCGCTACTAGTTTGACTTTTTCTGTTGTTCTGGTTGGTGTCAGCTTTATTAGTGTCCAGCCTCTGTGTTCTCTGGTGGCCTAATTTCCTTTAATTGCTAACTCTTCCAAACGCAAATGCTTTCTCCAGTGAATTCCCCCACATGACATGGTCAAAGTAAGCGAGATGCGGCTTTGTGATTTTACCTGCTAGTGATAATGTCTGGGGTTATACACTCTGGAACTTGCTTGTTAGTCCTCTCTGCTGTCCAGAGAATAAGCAGGAGCCTTTTCCAGCATCACATGCAAAAGATCATTTCTTAATTAAAGAAGCATCCTGTTCTTGTAGTTAATTGCACATACTTCAAATTACTGATGATGAAATAGATCGTGTCATATACCAGTGGCCCCCAACCTTTTGGGCACCAGGGACCAGTTCCATGGAGAGAGGTTTTTCCACAGACTGGAGATGGCATGGTTTCAAATGCTGCCTTGTAGCCCACAGATGGGCCTTCGCTTGTTTGTGTGGTCTGGTTTCTGGCATGCCGTGGCCCGATGTTGATCCATGGACCGGGGGTTAGAGATCCCTATCATAGCCAGTAAAATGAAAAAGACATGTTTATAGCCCAAAAATATACATCTTTTTCTTCTCTGTACTTTACAAGCTGGAGGCTTCCATCTGTAGCCCAAGCATCAATTTATTGTTTGTTTATTGCCATTTTAGGTATTATGGAAGAAGGCGGTAACATCATTGCCCTAATCTCAAATCTGAGGGAGCAGGAAGCCGTCCTGATTTCCGAAGCCATCGTAAGCTCATCCGCAGAGAACGCCGATGACCCATTAAAGGGTAAACCTGATCCCCTCATCCAGGTCATCCAAAAGCTCAGCAAAATTGTCAAAAGCGAAAAGTCGCAGAAATGCGTTTTGATCGGGGGGAAACGCTTGTACCCCGACACCCCCAGCCTTCCAGAGGCCCCACCCAAAGCCCTGGAATTGCCTGCTCTGGGCACCATCAACATAGAAGACTATTACACGATGGACGATCCTCCGCAGAGCAAGCGGAAGGTCCTTTGCTATGAGTGCAGCCTCTGCAAGTCGGTGTCGCCCACTCTTCCCCTCTTACAGGAGCACATCAAGCAACACGGTCAGCAGAACGAAGTCATGCTCATGTGCTCTGTCTGCAGTTTCACCACCCGGAGCGTAGAGGATTTTGAAACTCACATTCGAAGTCACCCGGAGAACAGCAGCAAAATCCACGCCCTGTTGAAGGAAGAGCATTGCATCGGCCCTTCGGGCACCGCTTTGCCTGGGCCAGTCGAAAAAGTCATCATCGGCAGCGATCATGAGATGACACCTCCCCAAGGGCCTGAGAAAGGGAGGCGGAAATGGTACACTTACGAGCAATACGGCATGTACCGGTGCTTGATTTGCAGCTACACGTGTGGACAGCAACGAATGTTGAAAACGCACGCTTGGAAGCACGCGGGCGAGGTGAATTGCTCCTATCCCATATTCGAGGAAGAAAAAGAGCAGGCCACCTTGCCGGATTCTGCCATGTTGGATACCGTCGTCCTGTCCCTCGACAATAACGAGCCGGGGCTCTGCAATAACCAGCCCGTACAACTTCGCATTTGCAGCCCCGAGCCGGTGGCTTTCAAAACTGAATCGCCCATCAAAGAAGAGCCATCCCTCGGTCAGCCAGCTGCGCTTTCCCCTGCAGACCAATTATCGGAGGAGAAGGCGTCGCATGAAGATCTTGAGGCGGATCACTTGGGGGCTGACAGCTTGCTTTCTTCGGCCCAGAAAATCATCCACTGCAGCCCCAACAAAAAGGGCCATGTCAACGTCATTGTGGAGCGCCTGCCCAGTGCCGAAGAGCCCGTCTTGCAGAACGACGTCATGGATAATGTCTTGCATTACTCCGTGGGCGCCGCCCCCGAACACCCGCCGGCTGGGCGGGATGCGTCGGATGACGTTTATCACATGGATAAGAATTCGATTGAAATCGAAGAAGTTATCATTGGGTGGAGCAGCACGGAAAAGGCCGAAGATAACCCGAATCCCAGCCGGGCTAAAACGGCCGACGAAAATGCTCCACCTGCCCGGCGGAGAACCAATTCAGAGTCTTTGAGGCTGCACTCGCTCGCCGCCGAAGCCCTGGTTACGATGCCAATCCGAGCCGCGGAGCTTGCTCGATCCAGCTTCCGGGCTTTCGCCGACGTCAACCCTTTAAGCTCAGAGGCTGGGCAGAGGCCTCCCGACGGTGGCTATTTAGGCCATTCTAAACGGATTGCCTCCCTGAAGACGGAGGAACTGGGTAGCCTGAACCAAGAGGAAAGGGCTTTCGTGGAACTGCAGAAGGATAAACCGGAGCTCCCCGAAGGCCCCATTAAAATGGGCATCAGCATGTCGCTGCTGACCGTGATTGAGAAGTTGAAAGAGAGGACGGACCAGAATGCCTCCGACGACGACATTTTGAAGGAGCTGCAGGATAACGTTCAGTGCCAACCGTCGGGGGATGCCAGCGTGCTTGGGAGCAGTCTGGTGGAATACATCCCTGACGCGGAACGGCCCTTCCGGTGTCGCCTGTGCCACTACAGCAGCGGCAACAAAGGCTACATCAAGCAGCATTTGCGGGTCCATCGGCAGAGGCAGCCTTACCAGTGCCCGATTTGTGAGCATGTGGCCGACCACAGCAAGGATTTAGAAAGTCACATGATCAATCACTGCAAAACCCGAATGTACCAGTGCAAGCAGTGTGAGGAATCCTTTCATTATAAGGTGAGCAGCTGCGCTTTGCGTTCATCAAACGCCCAGCCCTTGGGGGCGGGGCTTAGAATTCAAGTGAATTGGTGGGGTGGCAAGTATGTTATCCTCTGCTCGTTTAATACAACCCACCGCTGTGGTTTCTAATTGTGGTCCCGCTTGTGGGGACCTCTGGGACTTGTGCAAAACACAGAACATAGAATAACAGGGTTAGAAGGGACCTTGGAGGTCCTCTAGTCCAACCCACTGTTCCTCAGCAGACCCTATAACCTTTCCAGACAAATAGCTGTCCACTCTCTTCTTGAAAACCTCCCGTGATGGAGCAGCCCCAACTCTGGGAGGCAAACTATTCCCATTCACTCGCTGTCAGTAGAATGTCATTGTTCTTCCTGTCAGGAAATTTCTCCTTAGTTCCAAGTTGGATCCATTGCTTCTTGACCTGCCTTCAGGTACTTTGGAGAACGGGTTGACCGCTTCTTCTCTTGGAAGCCCCTCAAGTATTAGAAGAATGCTATCATACCATACCCTGGTTCTTCTCTTTATTAGACTAGACATACCTGAACCCTGCAGCTGTTCATCATGGTATGTTTCTTTCTAGCGGTAGCTTGGCAAAGCAATGGAGTGGTGGCAAGCAGTATTGCAAACAAAACTTTTTTTCAGGTTGTCAAAAATGATTAATCCTTTAGAATTAATCATCTTTATTAGATTTCTATATGGCTGCAATCATTGGTGCATTGTTTTTAATAATCACACATGAGTCAAGCAAATGTAGTTTGTTTAGATTAGCCTTTTCCAAATTTAGAAATTTTAAAAAATGTGTGGACTTCAACTCCCAGAATTCTGAACTTGTGAACTCAACATGCCAGGCTAAGTTAAATTGGGGAATTCTGGGATATGAAGTCCGTATACCTTAAAAGTTGCCAGGTTTGAAAAACACTGTTTTAGATTGAAAATTATCTCCAGTTATCTCGTAGGATTTCCTATAACCCCTCTTATTGTATGCAGTAACTTCCCCCACATTCTCTTCACCAGGATTAGGTATTGACCAAGTTTACACAGTGGCACCTCATGCTGTGTGAACTAAGCTGTTTCGACTTTTAAACTATGACCGACAACCTAGCAAGATGGAAGCATCCAACCCATGTGGGTTCAGTTATCAAACTGCTGTTAAAAGTGTGGCTTTGAGTCATGCGCGGACATTGTTAGTTCATCCACTGTCATCAATGCTTACGGCATAAAAGAATGCCCAACTGAGTTTGGAGTTAGGGATTAACAGCATTGTTTTAACATTGATGCGACTGTTTTGTGTTCCAGAGTCAGCTGCGCAGTCACGAAAGAGAACAGCATTGTCTCACAGATACATATGCAACCCCAACGTTTGACGGCTTAATGGCTTGCAGTGAAGCAGATGAAAGAGTTGGTACTGTCTATCTCATTGGCTAGTTTTGTGGGTTGGATTGGGTTCCTTTTGTACACCGTGGCCTGGGTGATTGTGAGAATGGCCAGGATGTTCCTTCTCTCTCTCTCTCTTGGTACCCTCCAAAATGCTGCACTACTCATCTCTTTGGCTCCGCTGACTGACAGTTTCAGGAGTTATAACATGGTAGATCGAGAGCAGTGTTTCTTCATCTCAAGAGACTTTTAAGAGCCGTGGACTTCAACTCCCAGAATCCCACGAGTCTTAAAGTTTGCTGAGTTTGAGAATCGTTGGTCTAAAGCTCCGGGATCTCCAAACGGGGCCACTTTAAGACTGGTGGACTTCAACTCCCAGCATGAACTCCCACTCAACTCCCAAGGTGTCTGGGGAATTCTGGGAGTTGAAGTCCACAAGTTGCCAAGCTTGGAGACGCCTGCTCTAAAGGGTGCCAGTTTGCAAGAAGGCCATTGTAAATTCATCCTTTATTTCTCCAGTTGCACAAATAGAATCTGATAATTGTGGGGAGAAAGATTCCTTGGAGAATTGAGAGAGGGGAATGTTCCTCAGCTACCCTTATTTCAGGCCTTTTGTCACTGAATAATGATGAATTATTTGAGGGTGGGATGTTCTTTTTCTTATTCCTTCATCTGGATGCAGAGATTAGTGTTTGTCTGCATTTTTTCTTGATTGCTCATTGCTTTTTTTTTTTTTTAAAGGGAGGGTGTAGGGTTTTTTTCCTGCCTGGTTAGTATCTTAAAGTATCTTTTTATTTGAAAAGCTCATGTCAGAAGCCTGCCTTCACTTAACACCATTTCCTTTTTAATTGTATTCATTAAAAGAGAACGCTAGCTTTCCGAAGCATTTTGGAAGCCCTTTGCAATCAAATTAAGATACAATTGCAGGAAGGAAACCCTCTTGTCAAACAGATGCCGCCTCTATAAAAAAACCCCAAAGTTTATGGCACAGCAGCTGCTTGCACGTCAATCCCTTGAGCCAGGAACATGCCTTCCCTGCTTAGAAAATCACGGTGGCTGCACTTATAAACATTAAAGGGATTCGATCTGCCAAATTGCAGGCAGCCGGCAGGCAGCAGAAGTAGCCTGCAAGACTGCACTCTTAACCACTGTGCCACCGCAGCTCATTGAAAGACCATTGAAAGGCAGCATCCCTTAAAAACTGTGGTAATGAAAGCTGCCGATCTACATGGTTGGAAAGGATGAAGAGGATAAGTTCACCAAGGCCACCCAGAGTTTATCTTGATAGCAAGATAGACAGCCTATAAATTTAATAAAGAAATAAGTAGCTGGTCAACAGCATAGCTCAGCTTACCTTTCCCTGTCAGTGGGCTGTGCTTCATGGTGTCCTTCCCCGTATTTTATTTGCAGCTTAGAGGGTCCTCACGGGCATCTAATTAGGCCTGGTGGAAACCAGTGTTGAAGGAGAACCAATGTCTTCTGATGTTCTTGTTACAGGGGACAAGATTTCAGTCCAGAAACTTTACCGTTGCGACATTTGTGATTACACAAGCACAACGTATGTTGGCGTGAGGAATCACAGACGGATTCACAACTCGGATAAGCCATACAGGTGAAGATAATCTGTATTTTAAGCCGATTTTGTTTTGTTTGTTTCTTAATGCGGCAACCGGCAGGTAATTTGAACTATTCTGATTTTGAAGAAGGGCATAAATAAACGATCAGAGATTTCTTCTTGAAATAGAGTCCTCCATCCTTCTGCGCACTGTTTCCTACGCATCTGCTTGCCATAGGTATTGCCTGTTTTCATTGGCAGAATTCAAACCTAAATTTTACCCACTAAATTATTAAATCAAGTGGGTTAAGCCTGGCTTTTTAGAGAGTCCCATTTGCAAAAGACACGTGAACGCTTAGAATATTCCATTTAAAACGTTCAGAGAGAGCTTGAAAGCAGTCAACTGAGGTTTGTCAAGCCAAAGTCACCTCTCAGGAACATTTCAGAGATTGCATTCTAAAGTAAGGCAAGGCTTGAGATGTAAATAAATCTGAATCTGCTTTTTCATCTAATTGTTAAATTCAGTTACAGGGCTACGGTCCATATATTTCCCCATCCTGTCATAGTGAACAATTTAGCAGCCATTTTTGCAAAGGCTGTGGGGTTTTCAGACTTTGGCAGATCACTGTCTCTCTGCTTCCTTGCTTAAATAGGTTGCCAACATCTGGAATGGACTCTTGACTTGTGATTTTGCAATCTTAATGGTAGCTGTCCAGTAGTGGGATTCAAATTTTTTTGCTACCTGTCATGCCCATTGATGGGTGTGGCAGGGGAAGGTTACTGTAAAATCTCCAGTCAGAGGTGGGATTTGCCAGTTCTCCAAACTACTCAAAATATTCACTTCGGGTTCTCCAGAACTGGTCAGAACCTGCTGAATCCCACCTCTGCAACCTTCTCTTAATAAACTTGACCAGCCTTTCGCCGACGGTTGCTTCCAGAATCCCCCAACCAGAATTTTCTTTCTATCCCATCAGAAAGTGAGTTGGGAAGTAAAGGAAAGCCACGTTTGACTTTTGGGTTGCAAGTGATCAAACCTGGAAGCGTTGCTAATTTTCCAAAACATTTTTTTTCTTTAATATTTAACGCTGGGGCCTTAAAATGCCAAGGGGGCGCAAGACTGTTGGAGTCAACCCTTTCTTTGCTTTTCTTCAGATGCCGCGTCTGTGACTTCGCCACCACAAGTATGAATAGCTTGAAGTGTCACATGAGGCGCCACCCACAGGAGCACCAGGCAGTGCAGTTAACGGAGCAGTTCAAGTAGGTTACAAACAGCTCACTGAGACAGCGGCAGCCATCTTGTTCTGTGGCTAAATAACAGGGTCACAACTCCGCAGGTTTCTTTGCCTCTGTTCTTAGTGCTTGGTCTGTCTCCCTTTTTAGTCGTCGTGTTGCCGTCAGCAACCCAAACATTAAGAAAGCTTCAGGCTGTGGATAAGCTCTAATAAGAACGATTCTTCAGCTGAACACGGCTCTCAGATTTATTAGAAGAGACCTGTAGCCACTGACGGATGAAGAAAATGCACTGTGCATTATCTCTTGAGCTCCAGAATGCATTCTGAAGATTGTTCAGCTCCATCTAGAGTAGGGGAATCAAACTCGATTTCATTGAAGGCCGCATCAGGGTTGTGTTTGGCCTCGGGGCCAGGTATGCATGGCCAGCTCAACGTCACTTGTGTTAGGGGCCCCCCTGAGCTCTGTTTTTGCTGGCAGAGGCACAGCAGGCCAGTCCGCTGTGTCCAGGGTGGCCCCTTGGGCCAGATCTAAGTGCAGGCCTGGAGTTTGACACCCCTGATCTAGATCAACCAGGCGTTAGAGATGAAATGTTGACAAGTATTGCATTTGGATGCCTTGAGTGGCGTTGCTAAGATTTGTAGTGTTCTATCTGGAAGACCACTTTCATCCTTTAGGAGCTGCGGTGGCGCAGGGGTTAGAATGCAGTACTACAGGCTGCTTCTGCTGACTGCCAGCTGCCTGCAATGTGGCAGTTCGAATCTCACCAAGCTCCAGGTTGACTCAGCCTTCTGTCCTGAAGTGGGTAAAATGAGGACCCAGATTGTTGGGGGCAACATGCTGGCTCTGTAAACCGCTTAGAGAGGGCTGTAAAGC